TCTGGGGGGTAAAATCAAAACTTTTTTCTGAGGGGGTGTCCTCTCCTATTATTCTGAAATATCTGTTACATCTGTTACATCTGTTACTCCCTTCTGATTCTATCGTATTTTCCTCTCTTTTTCCTTATTTTATCTGTTTTTTAGTATATTTTTAGTAACAGATGTAGTAACGGATAGTAACGGATCTTGGATAACCCTGCCCCACGAAGGGGAGATGTAGGTACTGCGAGGCCACGAGGCCGAGGTGGGGTGAGCGCTAGCGAGACACACTACCAGCCCGACTGACACTATTCAATACCCTTTAGAGAAAGTTTACCAAAACAATCCACAAATTAAATTAGTTTTTCATACTGATGATTCTAAACCTAAGCAGATAGCAACATGTTCCTCTTGCTATAATCCTGTTCCAGCTGAAATTCAAAATGTACCTCCATATCACTGTATCTATCTTTCTTCTATTCATCTTAGCTGTTCATTAGGTCAAACTTCAAATAGTAATGCTTATTCAAATTATCATCACTTAACTGGTACTTTTATTGATTTAAAAAATATCAATGCTTTTGCATTATATTCTGGTACTGTTGGTGCTATATTAGCCAATAATAATTCAAATTCATGGTATCATTCTTCACTTAATAATGCAGCAACATGGTTATGTGATAATAACCCTTACTTCAGACCATATAAAACTTTAATTAACTGTGGTACTTGGGATGGACCTCCAGTCATTTTTCCAATTACTTTATCTAGCAATCTTTCTCAAACCCAAGAACAGCCTATATTTAATATTAATTCTTGACCTTCTGCAGTAGTATTACCTCCTTATGATTTTGATGCAGAAATACATAATAAAGATTATTATTATTCTCAATTAATAGCAGGATTTTTAACTGATCCTAATAATAAGGAATTACCAATACCATTTTATAATAAAATATTAAACCACTTCTGTTTCCTGATCTTTTTCCATATAGAAAAGGTTTTTATTTAAATGATAAAAATACAAATAGATGAAATTAGGGATGGCAATGGTCATGGTCATTAACCGGTTATGACCAGTCATGACCGTGACTGATATCGGACAGTCAAAGACCTCTGACTGACCATTTGACCGACTGGTCTGTCGGTCAAAGGTTCTTGACCGGTTATGACTGACCGATGACCAACCATAACCGACCGTTGCCATCCCTAGATGAAATATAGACACTTTAGGCAATTATGCAAAATTTTTACTACTTTGTCCTGATCCTAGATGGCGTTTATCTTGGTATTGGCCTCATTATATTTATCTAACACTTGAAAAGTTAAGAAATCATCAAAATAGAACTTGAATATTAAATCAACATAATATTTCTCAATCAAATCAATTAACAACTGCAGATTTGCATATGGGCTGATTTGTCTACTCTGCATTAAAAAGAGTTATTGATTGATTTTCACAATTTTATTACTCAAAATTGTTTTGTAATACCAAAAAATCATCTGATTGATGATCACTTGACTAAATAATAAGTTGAACAAAAATTTACATTTGCGAAACTTAAATTATTAAATGTAAAAGAGCTGTGAAAAAACCCATTTCACTAATAAAAAACCCATTTCTCATATATATGGAATTTTTAACATATATTATTAAAAAGTAAGTATA